CATTCACGCTCAACGGAACGACAATCTCCGAATGCTCCAGTTACATCTATCTAGGTCGTGAAATCAACATGATGAACGACCTAGCTCCAGAGTTGAGCAGGAGAAAACGAGCGGCTTGGGGAACGTTTAAGAGCATCGAAGATGTAGTGAAGAGGACAAAGAACATACGACTCCGTGCCCACCTTTTCGACTCGACAATTATCCCTGCCCTGACATATGCAGCAGAAACCTGGTCGCTACGTAAGCAGGATGAAAGATCACTTGCCGTTATCGAACGCGCAGTCGAAAGATCGATGCTAGGAGTATCCTGTATCTCGCAAATGAGAGAAAGGATCCGAAGTTCCGACCTGCGTCAACGATCGAAAATCAGAGACGCCGTTCTACACGCCAGGATATCGAAAATAAGGTGGGCCGGACACGTGATTCGCTTCAACGACAACCGATGGACGAGAGCCGTTACCGACTGGATTCCTCGGGACGTCAAGCGCTCTAAAGGAAGACCACTGACCCGTTGGTCCGATTTCTTCACGAAAGCGATAGAAGAAAGATATGATGCTCAGCGAATCCCTAAAGCGAGGAGGACCCACTGGGCTACTCTTGCTCGCAATAGGGAAAAATGTAAGAGTTGCTGGTACCCGCTCGAGTCACTCAACGATCAACGGTACAACAGGTGATACGACAGGTGACAGGTGATATATTTACATAAATATACACATATACATACACATATACATATATACATAAATATATACATATATACATAAATCACCTGTATCATCTGTTGTACCGTTGATCGTTGAGTGACTCGAGCGGGTACCAGCAACTCTTACATTTTTCCCTATTGCGAGCAAGAGTAGCCCAGTGGGTCCTCCTCGCTTTAGGGATTCGCTGAGCATCATATCTTTCTTCTATCGCTTTCGTGAAGAAATCGGACCAACGGGTCAGTGGTCTTCCTTTAGAGCGCTTGACGTCCCGAGGAATCCAGTCGGTAACGGCTCTCGTCCATCGGTTGTCGTTGAAGCGCATCACGTGTCCGGCCCACCTTATTTTCGATATCCTGGCGTGTAGAACGGCGTCTCCGATTTTCGGTCGTTGACGTAGGTCGGAACTTCGGATACTTTCTCTCATTTGCGAGATACGCGATACTCCTAGCATCGACCTTTCGACTGCGCGTTCGATAACTCCAAGCGATCTTTCATCCTGCCTACGTAGCGACCAGATTTCTGCTGCATACGTTAGGGCAGGGATAACTGTTGAGTCGAAAAGGTGGGCACGAAGTCGTATGTTCTTTGTCCTCTTCACTACATCTTCGATGCTCTTAAACGTTCCCCAAGCGGCTCGTTTCCTCCTGCTCAACTCTGGAGCTAGGTCGTTCATCATGTTGATTTCACCACCTAGATAGACGTAACTGGATCATTCGGAGATTTTCGTTCCGTTGAGCGTGAAAGGGGCATTCGAAACCCGTCCGTTCCTCATAAACATTGTTTTCGTTAGATTCAATTGAAGACCAATCTTTCCACAGGCGTTATCGGTCAGCATTCGTTCCGCTTGGCTGATGTTTGGTGTTATGAGAACGATATCGTCAGCAAAGCGAAGATGGTTTAATTGTCGACCGTCAATTTTCACTCCCATTTCGTCCCATTCTAATGTTCGCATGACGTTTTGTAGGGTGGCAGTGAGTAGTTTTGGCAAAATTGTATCGCCTTGTCAAACCACTCTTCTTACGTCAACGATGATATTGTTGTAGAATGGAGATATTTTGGTCGTGAAATCTTTATAAAGCTCACTAATGATCATTGTGTACCGAGTAGGGACGCCATGGTTATCCAGAGCCTTTATAACCGCTTCTGCTTCCACTGAAACAAAGGCTTTCCTCAGATCGATGAAAGTGAGACAGAGTGCTTGTTTGTACCCTCGTGAAACTTCAATGAGCCTTGTAATCGTGTGGATGTTGTCTATATCATATATAGATCTATATCTATATCTATATTGGTCTATACTGTGTGGATGTAGTATCATATATATATATATATATATATATATATATATATATATATATATATATATATATATATATATATATATATATATATATATATATATATATATATATATATATATATAATCCGTCGATGTCCGGGGACTCTGATGATGGCGATTTCCCGAAACGCACCTAAACCACGAACGAAATGTAGCGTAGCAACTTTGAAAAGGTTAAAAACATTTTCGAAGCCCGAATATATTGAAGGTTTTGAAATTTTCAAGAAACTATCGATTTTTTCCATAAGAATAATGTATGATGAATATACCATAAAAAGCAATATTTCTCAAATTGTGCCTGCATTCTAATCAACCTGGTCTGCGAAATTTTTTTATAGTCTATATATATATATATATATATATATATATATATACTATATATATACATATATATTATTTGTATGCATATACTACGGATCTCACTCTTTGAGGGATCCCGCCCAGCTAGTCGCGAGAACACAGGTTTTCGTTTTCATACATTTACGTGTTTACACATATACTTTATATACATATTTTGTATATATACATATATATATGCACTTCATATATATGCATAAGGACCATACCATGTACGGTATTCCCTCTCAAAGTGCGCAATAATGACACTTTTCCAGTGTAAGAGGTTCAGTGATCCATCGATTCGCCTTGCTTGAGCAATAAAACCGAACAAATGATCTTTTCGCCACCGTTTTCGTTCTATTGCTAAGGGGGGTGCGGCAATATTGGACATGTCTGGAACAACACGGTGATCGTAATTTCACTCCGAATAGGATCGACGTGCTACCGGTTGTCCTTAGGAAACAACTACATTAAGGAAGGAAGAAAAGAAGAAGTTTAGAGATCAGACGGGAAAGATTGAGAGAGGAATTTTCTGGCAAAAAAGAAATTTAGAAAACTGGTGAACACTTCAATTACATTAGATGCGTGTCACTTGAAAAACTCAGGAAGTTCGCTGCCGAGATCAGAAGTCATGCGGTGGACACGAGAGGTCTCGCTTCTGGTATCCACTATACACTGAAAAGAATCCCTTCAGTTTTCACTACTCTTCTCACCAGGTCTGCTTATGAGTGCTACTAATTTTAGTGCTAGGCATTTTGAATTATTTTTTCCGAGAATGATCTGCTCTTGCTCGAAAAGCAGATTGAATTCTGAAGAGAGATCTATGGAATTTGAAATACATCGATTATATCGTTTTTGAATGCCACATTAGACACTGCGCTGGTATTCTAACCAAAATCGTGAAGTGAATTTACCGCTGATTAAGCTGAATCCACTAGTTTGCCTCAATAGGTAAGTCTGTCGAAAAGCAGGCATTACATCGACAGTGCTTTGTGGCACGACTGTACTGTACTGAACGCTTGAATTTTGCGTAGTGAGTGAAGGATGTCGATAAATTTGAGTACAATTCCTTTATCAGAAAGAGTTTTTGAAGAAATCATTTCAATATAAACGAATTTCCATTGGACTTTGAATAATTATTAAAAAACTCAGATCATTGAAGTTACCGTTGACGTTATAGAAATTTAAAAAGCCCCAACAAAAGCGCTCGCTAAACACGATTTTCAAATAAGGCCTAAAAACAATGGAATACAATCTTCACTACATCATACTAGGGTATTATCGCCAGGAAAAAGTGAAAAATTCCGAATCACTAACTAAGTGCATATTGCGTCAGTTGGTTTTCATACGACTTGTCGACGAAGACAAGATTAAGCAGTGAGTCAAAAGAATCTTGTTGTGAATCGGATTCTTCATGTAAACATCACATCAGAGCATCTCTCCTAAACTTATTCCTGTTGCTCCTAAACAGTTGAAGTCAGAGTGCAAACTTCTTTGGGTTTCTCTGTTGTCCGGTAACAAATGAAGAAACGACGCCCTAGGTGGACAGACTTTCCTCTGCACTTTTCGTAATCATTCGAGAGTTTAAATTTCAGGCTACTGCGCTATATGGCCTTTTTCTAAAACAGCCTTCTCATAACTCTGTAGCTCTGTAGCAGAAAGAAAACATTTGTGTTCCACACATACATATTTCTCACAAAACAGAACTCGTTCTTCAGCTTATAAGTACTCTATAGTGCAAGTATTGACGATTCTAACGCCGTGAGTTTTCTGGAAAGACTAATTCACTGCAGTGCAGCAGAAAAAATAATATGGAGTTCCACATACGCAGCGCATTTCTTTGTCTGCTAGGGGGTGAGCTGCGAGGGCGGAAAGGGGAGAAGAGGGAGGGAATGGGAGAAAAGAGGGAGAAGGAGGGCTGGTCTTGGATCCATACTGCGATCGATCAACCGCATTGGTACAACTCACCTGTGGAGTGCAAGTTTTACTATATAATCTGAGATTTTCTCTTCGCTTTGAAAGACTCCAAACAAGACGGCCCTGATGTCATGCCTTCCTCTATGGGCTCATGTGCTTTTCGTGCTTCCAGAGAAGTCACAGTAAAAGCGAGAGACCGGTGTAAAACATAATTTTGTTTTAGATGCTGCAGCGCTATAAAGGGATCTTTTTTAAAACCGCCATGTAGTGAAGAAGCTCTCTTATGAAAAACTTTTGCACAGTGAAAGTAGCAATTTTTCCATTTGTTCGGATAACAGAAAAGAACCCTTCTCTGTTGGCCAATCACACCACTCTGTCGAAAAAGATGTAAGTGAATCATGTCTCAAAACATTATATTAACTAAAAGATATTTAGGAAATTCACATTTCTGACTGTTGCTGGAGCGGTAGATGAAGTAGACTTTGAACTTGTGAGTCCTTCCTGAACACCTCATAATACAGTGCCAGCTCACAATATTCTTGAGTGAAGTCTCAAATTAGTCGATTGTAACGCCTGTTACAGACTAAGAAATAAACAAAAGTTTCTAGAAATAGCATTTAAGATCACTTATGGCTCAATAGCTCGTTTTGCAGTGTTACGATGTTTCAAATATACCTTAGAGAAGTGAGTGGTGAGCAAAAATTTGACTTGAGACAGGAGCTGAACCTGCATTTTACCCATGCCGGGGGGACATGCTACCACTACACCATCGAGGTCGCAGGTTTTTACTACATGAAACATAAGGTAATTCGGTGTGCCAGTGATTCGAGAGGTAATAGTGAGATTAAAAAGATACACAAAAAAAAACCACAGTGAAGTGTTGTGGTAGGGGATCGAACCGTAACCTTATTCCTGATGGACTGGTGTGGCGTGGCAGAGAGGAGTGAGAGAAAGAGTGATTGCCACGCTGAGGTTAGAGCCGCGGAGGAGGAGGGGGGGAGGGTAGACACGCTCAGGTTAGGTCCGCGGAAGCCAAACGTCTAAGTGATGTGTTCATAGATATTATACACTCTTCAAATGCTTTGATGCTCATTGCTATGGCCCTCTTTCTGGCACCATAATGCAAAGTGAGCAGTGGTTTGTACTTATTTTGACAAATGTGGTAGCTAAGTGGTTAGTAATGCAGATCATCGCAAAGTAAGACTCTGACGAGCTACTTTTAACCCTTTCTACAATCGGTCATAAGACGCCTTAGCTCGGGATCCTCGGAGGTTGTAACGAGACTTGCTCGCCAACATTTTACGTCATTGATGAACAAAATGAAATTGTCAAGCATCAGTGAAAGCATTACGAGGAATATTTGAAAACCTCTACGGAGAATGAACGCGAAAACACGATGCGAACGTTAGAAGTGCTGGAACCAGCAAAGTAAACTGCACTAACTGATTCTAGAAGAAACTGCATTTATCCTTGTTGGATTGTACACATACACACTGCATACAATGAGATTATATATATATATATATATATATATATATATATATATTGCAGTATTATTTTTTTGACTGCTTTTAGCGGCGGTATAATGTTATGGGTATACCCCGTGATGCCGAGTGATGTGTAAAACTTTTGCATTAGGTGGGACTCGAACGCACATTTTGCCCTATCCGTGTGCGCATACTCAAAGCGTTGCACTGCCAGCGTCGGTTTTACACCACTCTTTCTACGAAAGCACCTGTATGTCAGCAACCAAGCATCAACGGTATGACTGGCTAGTGTTATCGACGTTGAACCCAGTCACGCTGAAACATATTTGGTATTAGATGATCCAACAAAATTCCTTATCTCAACAGCTTCTAGCGGTGACACGATGTAATAAATATAAATATACATGCTAAATCATACCACCGCAAGAAGCGATTGAATGAAAAGGGATTCTGTCTGATCATGTACTAGAAAATGTCTATCAGTATGACTGGGTTCATCGATAGCGACCACCCCAGCTATACCGTTGACAGTTGGTTGCTGAAAGATAGATGCATTTTAGCGTACAAAGAGTGACGGCAAAATGGGAGTCAGTAGTGCGACGGGTTAGAGCAGGCGCTCTCGGATAGAGAGAGATGTGGATTCGAGTTCATCTGGCGCGAAAGCTCTACATACCGCTTTACATCGTTGGATACATCTATAATCATACCACCGCTTATAGAGGTCAAATAAAAAGAATTCGACCTGATTTTCCTGAATTCGGTTGTTTAACAATTGAGGAAGGAAGAAAACGTAAGCTAAAACGAGTGGAAAGCAACAATAATCGAAACTTTCTTATCAGTTTCTACTCCCCCTAGGGGACCACTCCCACGGGCGGTATTTCCTCACTCCATAAGTGAGGCCATTCTCGTCAGTGTAGTACTTCAACAGAGTATATAGTCTTTTGTCACTAAAAAGACGGAAATCTAACTTACAATTTTATTTGAGCTTATTACTCTAAGGTCATAATCGAAAACAGGTTTCTTTTCGATCATTGAGACGTTGTCTTCTTTGAGCAGCGCCTCGAGACGCGATGCAGAGCGACCGCTTCTCATGTAGTCATCAATCCTAAATTGAATTGCTCTACTATTGAGTTGGAAAAAGACGTAAAAAACTGAAAAAAAGGAAAAACTATGCACTTACTTACACTCCTTGCGTCAGAAGAAGCGCCTGCTCACTAGAGGAGAGTCGTCCTGTAGTGTTATGAACTGTGAGGATTCCATAGCTTAAAGTAATGTCTCGCTCATTCCTTGAGACAAGCCAATAAGCTCAAGTAAAACCAAGTCAGTAGAAAAAGGTTCACACAATGATTTTCATCCAGAAAATCTCACTGCGATTGCCAATGATCAATACTACGGCTCAACATACCACAGTTTTCCGGCATTAACTCGTTTTGACAAGAAAAATAAATAAATAAATGAAACTGTATTGCGAGAGATATCACGAAACAACGTACTCCAAAGTAATATGTCAGTAGTGATAGCAGCGAGAGTTTTAGTAATACTGGTAATGTTAAAGATAATTCATGTTCCGGTGCAAAACATCAAAAAAGTATTATCCGTTGATATAAGAGTGTATGAATATTCACCTACAATAAATAAATTTTCTGGTGAAATCGCTCATGAAGATTTTAGTTTAGAATAAACTCAAACCATAAATACGCTGTAGAAGGCTGTCACCTTGTTTCAAAATGATAGAACAAATTAGATCAAGACAGCTTCCCTCCAAATTAGCCCCTTACGGGACCCCGGACCCACGGCCTGTTCATCTCTAACTGGCAACTCTGTCTGCCCCGCTCTAACTGCTCAGCATCTCTAACACTCAGCGTGCTGCTTCTAACAATGGCACGCTGGGGGTTAGAGATGTAAAGGAGATGGAGCGGGTCGTTCAGAGTTACCACTTCTAGAAGTGGAGGCCGTGGATTCACGGTCCCAAAAAGGTCACTTAGCAGAAATTTATTGGACCTCTTATAGAATGAGCGCTGTTTTCCTAGTCGTTAATGAGAAGTTCAATTTGACAAGTAATAAACAAACTTTTTTCATGTTCAAAGGCTGCAATGGATGTTACCTATATTAGGGGATCAGTGATTGCAAAAAAATACCGCAGTTCATTTGAATTAGTCGGCAAATCTCACCAAGTGTCGACAGCAATTGTTTGGTAGACGAACTGCAGTATAAATTGCATCGATTATAGCAATAGTAAACTTTGAGATGAATAAAAACACTTTTTCATATTTCAATAACAATCTCAATCCCAAAAGTTTCTAGTTACTAGTTATCGTAATCACAGTTTAAAAGCTAGCACTAGGGATCCCACATCCTTAACGAGTACAATTTTAGTGCCTTCCGCGAAATCAATGGTGGCCGTCAACCTTTTTATTAGCGACAGTACACGAAATAAAAAATCAACCCCTAATGTACAACGTGCATCAACGATGGTACACGACTGTTTGAAGGCCTTTCTCGCTGGATATGGGTCTCTCAGAGCCCTGATAATTATTTGAAAGCATGAATCTCTGCGATTTCAGCAAAGTCTTTAGTTCAAAAAAGGCTTTTTGTGAGATTGTAGCAGCGAGGAAAAATTTCATTACACACTCAGCTTGCTTCATCTGTTCGGTTGAGGCATCGATATGGCCTTCAATAGAGTTTTAACAGTCATTAAATAGCTCAAAAACCGAGAATTTTGAGAACTCCGTAAGGGCTAAAAGAAGATTACAATTCACCTCAAGAATGTTACCCCGCCGCTTGTACGTCATAGGTGGCTCATTGGTGATTGAAGATAACTTTTGTAGGTTAGAAGTATCTTATCGTTACAAGAAAAATGAAATATCACGAATGAACCTTTATAGGGGTTTTATAAAAGCTTTTTGATAGAAAGAGCAACTACTTCTCCTGGAATCTTTCATCTTTTGGCGGTAATACCACATCATTGTAAAAAAAGAAACTTTCAACCCTTACTATACATTTGTATCGACTGATTCGAAAGAACGTAGCTTGAAAGCCTAAACACCTCTCATAGAGGTTAATGTGGGTGATTGTGGTATAATTGGAGTAAGTGTAGGAAGAGCACGCGTTCATCATTATGAAGAATATTAGGTACTACGGCCCCAGTGGCACTGGTATTCCTATAGCGTGGTTTTTATTCTTCTTTGACACTTTAGCAATTGTTCGACACCTTGAATTTCGAGAACTTGAACGATGCTTTTTATTTCTATTTTATTATTCGACAGACTGATTCTCGAGATTTGAACGGGTGCATTTTATTTTTTGAAATGTTTTGTATATTTTGCTGGTAGAGTAAAAATAAAATCTTATTTCACACTCAGGCAGCTTTTCATTAACTCGTTCAATAATCGTTCGATGGACACCTTTCAGTGCCTTGTTACAGCTAGAAAGATATTGAGTTTTGCACTCAGTGCCTAGTCGATAGCAGCATGTATCATCATTTTTGATAAACTATTAACTGTAATCTAATCTTTAGTCACTACGATAACTCTTAGGTCCTGTGTGAAACTAGAGAAAATCAAAACTTAAGAACTTCAAAGTGATCTTCTTTGCAAAATGTAAAACAATTTATTAATTTCCCCTCTACAGGACATATATATCTAAACCAAAAGCATATGAGCAAGTGGAGAAGATCTTGCTCTATCGCAATGATACAAGAGTCCTAGAGTTTTCACAAAGCGGAGAGAATAAACCTGAATCAAACAACAAAAATCGCTTAATTCGTTCTGCGTATATCGATTTCTATAGTGGTCAACTAGGGGTTAATGGCGTCCGTTTGAGTCGCACAATGATAAACCACAAATGATAATTGATTGATAATACATATATCAAATATCTGCTAACGTGAGTGGGTTCACTGCCGCGATCGGCCCCCGAGCCAAGCTGTTGACGGTTGTTTGTGACAGATCGATTCGTTATAGCGTAGGGAAAATGGTGGCAAAACCGGCGGCGGCAATGCAACTGGTCAAAGCACGCGGCTCCGATAGGACGAAATGCGGAGTCGAGTCACGCCTGACGTCAAAGCTTTGCACATCACCTAACAATACATTATTGACTCTTCAATCGACCTCTTTTTTATAGACCTTGCTCAGACAATAGTAATCTGTTGAGGATATTATAAGTTTTGAGCCATTAAGGTCTAGGTACTATACAGACGCCTCTTTCATTTTACCGGGACTCATCAGTAGCACAAGAACGCTATAGTGCAATAAACGATTGAAAGGCAAAGAAAAAAAAATGTCAAACGCG